AATTTCAAAACTAAGGGAAACAAACCATTAACACCCTTCGAGCCGTTAAGGTGGCACAAAACTGTCCAGCTGCCAAGAAATCGTCCTCGTTAGTCAGTTGATGCTGTCCGACTTTACTGCTGTAATTGTACTTTTCCACAGTAGGCGCTGAAAGGATGGTCTTTTAACAACCATTGGCATGTCTGTCTTTCATGACCACTTTCGTGGCCGCTTGTGGTGCCCTTCTTTTAGGAAACTTTGTGGGCCGTCGTTGATCTCCGTTTCGTAAAGGAAATCGAAATCGGGTTTACACGTTTTACTATGCTGATAGTCAGCTTTCAGATGGGTCAAAGCGAGGTGCAACCACAGGGCTTCAGATATCATACCCATACACCTGGTCTTCTATGGCATTACTACCCCAGAATACAATGCTGTCCCTCTTTCCTCAAATATCCAATTTACTGTACGTTTCTCGGCTGGTTGCGCTAAAACAACGTAGGGTTTTGTTCCTTGCTGAACGGAATTCACAGTTAACGGTTAAGGAGAACTTGCCCTTTCAGCGGATTCGTACCCGTCAAGCCGACTTTTCAAAGCTGGCCATTTTTCCGTGAGTTAGGATTGTCTTACTTTAAAGGCTGAATGTGTACCGATATGGCAAGCATAGCGTGTAGTTACCTGTTTCCCTCTTGGAGGTGTACTCATTACTTACCTCGAAAAGAACAGGGGAGTTATCCTACCAGCACTCGAATCCGGGGTTTCTCGGTCCCGAGTTTCACGCTCAACCGACCGAGCAACCCCGGTTTACACATGTCTGGCGAGCTGGCACTCTAATCGCAGTTTACTTTCTGTCATTAGGACTCTACGTTCGATTTAATGAACGTCTGTGAGACCAGTGATGCTACGTGTACTCTGATGACATAGCGATCGTTCCTTCATACATCTGCGGTATTTTTGTTCCTTCGTCCATGAATCGTCGGTCTTCCCCACCGTCCTACTTCTACGATTTATTTGATTGAAACTCACTTCATTCTCTCTGCGTTTGGTTCAATCAGTCAACAAATTTTTTTTTCGAGTAACCGCGATTATTGTAAACAAAAAATAATCGTATCACAAACTATAAGGAATCTTATAGTTCATCTTTGCTTATATTTATGCTCATATATATTTGACTATGGAGGGTCAAGAATATCAGCAGTATTTGTCATATTCTAGTTAATAAGTACGTAGTTTCTCTTAAGCTGGGTTTTAGGACCTATGGCACCGCGTCCTTGCTATTACTCGTATGAGGAGGCAAATAGGTAGGCGACGGTTCTGTGGATTTGAGCATCTGCGGTGATAATTGCTTCTAGTATCATTCTGTTGCTCAGTATATTTGCACGGATCTATTGTTCTGCGAATATCCACATATGTATTTGTCTCTCGCGATTCTATAGCCTCAGTTTCTTTGCATCTGCCCTAACACCCGTGACATCCACTCTGATGTCCATAACGATTTTATACGATCTATGCGCTATGCAGCAAAACAAGTTATTATCGGCGCCTGGTTATGGAATATTAAATGTCGTTTAACTTGGTCTTAGCTGTAGTTTTAACTTTCTCTTATACTTGTTATTTTATCTTTCTCTGATCTAGTTATGCTTTAATATGATTTAAGGCTAGGAGTTTGTAAAGGAACTTTTATCATCCTATCTGTTATATAAAGGAATCGTCATCTTCAGTTTGTTTAACATAGATCATG